CTTCGGTTTTGCTCGGCCCGGGCCCGGTTTCCCGGGCCGGGCCGGATGGACACCCCTATCTGGTGGTAAAGCTGTAAATGCTCTCAACCTAGCAATGAAAAGATAAAATACTACCATCAATTTTAGTCTCAAGCAATTCTGAGAGAAGGCATGAGGCTCAGACAGTGCAAGACGAGGATGACATAAGACAGATGCAAGAAGAAGAAGAGGCAAGGAGACCTCACACCAAGTCTGTAGTCTGCTTTGTAATTATTTTGTAACTACTTATCTTTCCTTGAGACTGCTTGAAGCAGATAAACACATGTACATACTTTTTGTTTTGCTAGTTTTCAGGCTAGATACTTGTCTCTCTCCCCTTTTGGTCGTGAGGCTGTCTTTGGTACATATTGGTGTGTTTGGGAGTTTACTTAGGAAAGGGAATGAAGGGGAAGGAAGGGAAAAAAATTCCCCTTCCTTCCCTTCCCCTCCATTACACCCCAATTTGGGGTGTAAGAATTTGGATCAAATTTCCCCTCCATTCCCCTCATCTACCCTCATAAATGAAACTTCCAAACAAGGTTAAAATGAAATTTTCCTTCCCTTCCCCCTCTCTACCCTCCATCCAAACAGGCCATGATGCAATTATGGAGAAGGTCTCGTGTACCAATTAAAAAAAAAAGATATGTTTCTACTTCAATGTTTGTAGGACACCACCTCGTGTCCATCCTTTTATTTATGAATGATATGAACGGAAATCTTCCCTTGTTTTTCTGCTCAAAAAAATAAAGGGTCGTCTTTAGACATGTGTAAATGCATAGTTATTTATATTTTGGCCGATTATAAGATGATTTCCCATAACTATTAAAATATTTAAAAAAATATCAAGTTAGGAGTTACCAAGATTGCCTCTGTAAACAGTGTTAATCACAATTTTCACATGGATAGGTACACATTATATATTTTTCCCTATTAAAATTGGAGTTCACATTTTAGGGTGGTTTTCTTTAAAATTTTTAAAGTTAAATGGGCTTTTCGGATAAACCCCTAATCTTAAGAGAGTTTATGATACTTAAAGTTGTGGGAGATAATTGTCCAGTTCCATTAGGGGGGTTTTATGATATTAAGCC